GATGGAACGTGACGGCCCAGAGAAAATCATTCGACTCATAAAGGCATTTTATGCGTCCTTTCCCCCACAATATTCAACTGGATAATGGACACTGCTTGTCGGCATTCAAGAGGTGTCCGAATCAGTCCAGAGCATCGTATCACAGATCTTGAATTTGCTGATAATGTAATCCTTTTTACTTATAGTTATAACGAAATGCAAGTAATACTAAATAACTGCAGTCAGGAACTGCAGTAAGAATAGAACTCAGGATCAATGTGTACAAAACGAAAATCTTTTCGTCTTATGTACAAGAAACTGATAAAATGACTCTTTTTGTAAATTCATTGCCGATCGAGGAGGTGCCCGATTTTAAATATCTTGGGTCCACTCTAATATTAAATGCCAGGCAAAAGACGATATTACAGCCCGGGTCACGGCATATAGAAACACGTTCTTCCGGTTGACAATACCTTTGTGGAGCCGTCGTGAAATTACCATTAAAACAAAAGTCCGCATCTATATCCGTGATTCATTCGATCTTGCTATATGGTTCTGAGACATGGCCAATGAGAGTGGAGGATATTAAGAAGCTATCTACCTTTGACCATTCTTGTCTAAGGTACATATTACGGATCCGTCAAGCAGATAAAATATCATATGATCGCATCAATCTTCATTCAAATACCACTTGCATTAATAATGTTATCACATAGCGTCGCCTTCGCTGGTTAGGGAACATTCTCCGTCGTCTACAGGAGTTGAAGGAGTTCGTTTTTTTTAAGCCGTGTGATGGTTGGCGCCAAAAGCGAGATGGGCCAATCAAGACCTGGACTTATACGATCAGGAAAGATTTTGAACATATAGATGGATCAGCAATATATGGACTTAGACGATGGAAGAAGAAATGGTTTCTATTACTGTCGAGGATGGCATCAGACCGTGCCGTTTGGAAGCGTCTTACCCTTGTAGCCGTTGGAGCCAGTAATGAGCTGTTAGAAGAAGTAGAAGAAGACAGCCACTAGCTAGTTTAATTAGTTTAAAATTAGGGCAAAATGTGGAATGGGAAACATTTTGATTATTAAATTTGAACCATCAAAATTAATCTTACTGTCTTCATTTAGAATAAAATTGTGAGAAAAACTAAGATTTTTTTTTCCTAAATTAAATATGCAGGAGATAGAATGGTTCAGTGAGCTGTCGCTTTATTTTGGGTCGATATTGAGGTCCCATGCCTGGAAGGAATAAACCTATCCTTTAGAAATCCAGACGCTGGCTACTATTTAAATGATTCCATGGCAAAATTTGTCCATTGACAAGTACGCAGAATAAGATTAACCAAAAATAATAGAAAAAAAAATCGCACCAGCAGTTTTAATTATCGACATATTTCTTTAAACGTATAAATTTTTTGCCATTCTGAAACAGAGAAAATGGTACCTGAAATATGGTCCCTTTCAACTGAGACATAAAGTATATAGCGAAGACTGGAACAGGTAGGATAGAAGAAATACGTAAAATCCAACCAACTTCAATTGACCATTGAGGATACACATAATTCAGCGTTTTAAGTGGTTCCATTGATATATTAGAAGCAGTAAGGACAAAAATGCTCTAAAAAAACCATATAAAAAAATATTAGCATATTTCATAATAGAAAAAGTAACTGCCTACAGTCATAAGTATAGGGCAGCATAACCAGCAAATTCGCCAATATAATCCTGGAGAAAAACCAAGCATCTGATGAATATCTTGACTGAACCTTTCTACACCATAAAACCAGAAAACTGCGACCGTTTCACATATAACGATAAACATTAACGATAGTGAAACACCATATTCGTCGAGAAAAAGTATCACGTATGAACCACCCTCCAATTTCAAGAAAAGAAAATAAAAATAAAGTAAGAAAGAAAGTTCATTCATTCTTTTAACATACTAATTTAATGACTCTTAATTTACTAGCTTAATTCTTCATCATTCAGAAAGCTTACTAAAAATAGATTTCGAGAGCAGGTTGAAAATTAAAATTACAAAAAGTTAAAGAATTTACATATGTAATTGATGGTAAACTGCCAACGTAATAAATGAAAAGAACAAAAGCAACAAATATTTTGCGATGGCTCGCTAAAAGCTTTGGATATTCGTCACAAAATGCTGTTATAATTGCTTCGATCCCACTAAACTGAAAGTAAATGACAAATGAGCGGAAATTAACGCCTTATCTCCTAATTAAATAATTACTTTTTATTTAATTATTCATAAGATCATTGATTTGCATATTTCTTTAATTTCTTTCCCCATCAAAGAACTGGTTAACAGTGTTGTGCTATATATATCTCTGCACAAATATATATTTCTTTTGGTACTAGTGCTTCTGTTAAATATTTTGTTGTGAAGTGTTACTAGGGTAGAGGAAATCATCGCTAGCTTAATACACTCTTCTGGAAGTTGTGGGTTTTTTATGGTTTCAAGATGAATGAAAAACAAGAAAATAATACATCCGCAAAAAACAACACAAATATAAGAAGATTAAAGGAAATTAATTAATTAATGAAAATTAAAATTTAATGGAAGAGATTTTTTGAATAATATGCTTGAATAATAATGTGCTTAAATAATATCATAAATTAATTTATTTAATTAGTGTTAAGGCTATCCACTATTTCCATTTGTGTAGAATTGTTGCATCTGGATGAGTAATAAATATACCATATTATATTCCAAATAAGATCAAACAGATATTTTCAATATTTTGATAAAAAAAGGTTCGGGCCTATTTTAATTAATAGATTAGCAGGGTTCTTAAAATTCCAGATGATTTTTTTACGAATAATTTGCTGTGAAGGTCGAAGCCAAGATTCAAAATTTTCGGCAATAGTTATTCCAAGATCTGAGATGAAAAATGTAAGAGGATTGCTATAGTTGTCAGAATGCCGGAGCATTTAAAAATAATGTGGAAGATAGCTTTACCTCACCTATCTAATGAAAGCTTAATTTGTTTTGCTGAAACGACTCAATTATTTTTATTAATAACTAATTCATCTATATTTTTCAAGCAAACAAGTCGTATTAATCAAATTAATAAATTGAAAGTTGTGTGGTAATAGATTTTTCTTACAAAAACCGTAATGATGAATAAAATTAAATCACTGGTTTCAAAATAATTGAACAAATAATCACCAGATGAGTCTCTCTCTCTCAAATAATTTTAGATCTATAAGTGGAAGAGCTGTATCTATTAATATATCTATTTTTAAAAACAGTCTTTTTAAAAGCAGTTTTTATATCTATAATACAAAGTCTTATGTAAGGCAGTCTATCTCAGCAATTTGTTTAAAACGTATAGCACTGTAAAAAATTAAATAAAGTGGGAGAATAAGTGAAAGAACGACATATTTTTGAATAAAATTTGAGGAATATTATCAAGACCAGTGGACAATGCATATTTAAATCTAAATAATGTATTATAGATATAAAAATATTATTCTGGCTCCCTCCTTTACAATTTACTTATTTCAAGTTATCACCAAATAAAAAATGATTTATACATTCTCATCTCTTAGATAAATAAGGCTTTATCCACTAATCATCATAATAATAACTAATCTATCCAATTGTTTTCACAAAAAAGCATAATCTTTAACCGTGCTATCAATTCCGAGAAAGATAAGCATTGAAAAAAATATGAATGACCATATATTTGAAAAAGGCATTGTTGCAATAGCTTGAGGATAGACAGCAAATATAAGATTTGCTCCTTGATCACTAACTACTTCATGTATTGGGCGTTTAGTTAGCTTTGACATATATCCAAGGGTTGAGAAAATTACGAATCCTGCGAAAAATGATGTGCCACAATTGATTGCACATGTTGATAAAGCATCACTGCAAAGATTGCATTAATCAGTACTGATGGATAAATTTTTCAAAAATTTTAGTCATTGGCTTGATGTCATAAATTTATTCATTTTTTTCCGTTTTTTTCCCTGTTTTTCCATGCTTCATTTAAGAAATTTAGCAAATTATTGCGATCGTTTCACTGCATAATAATATTAAATGAAAAGATTAGTGAAGAGCAATCTATTAATATTACATTGACAAAAAATAAAAAAAAACGATACCGGTAGCAATTATTATTAAAATCATTGTAGCTGCTAAGTGCTATTATGACACCCAGACCGGATCCGAGGGAGAAAAATATTTGTGCGGCCGCAGCTGTCCAGACATTTGGATCCAGAAGTTTTTCAAAATCAGGAATTATATAATAATATATACCAGTAGATGCGCCAGGTAATGTAATGCCTCGAATTAAAAGCACAGTAAGAATTATATAAGGTGCGATTGAAGTCACCCAAACGACCTAAATTTATTCATTTGATAAGCCATTTGTTGCAATTTATATAACTGGACCTTTCCGACACTTTTTACGCCCTTCCATATTGCGAAATATATGAGAAGAAAAACAATAATTAAACAAATCGCTAGTAATGGCTTCACTCCACCAAGTCCATCCAACCCAGTTGAATGTTGAATTTCAAGTACATTGTATCTAAAAAAGGAAATAATAATTACGTTTTCACATAATATTATGGTGAAACAAATTAGAAAAAAGAAATGGTAGATTGGCAAGTAATTTCGTCACTATCCAAACCCATTTCAAATGATTTTGTTGCTAATAATATGATGAAAATATTCTTACAAAAAATATTCCTCTGAAGGTGTATTAAGTCTTTCCCCTTCCTTGTTTAATGTTTCATTTAAATTACTCGTACATAATTCCGTATTCCATGAATTATTACAAGTTTTCCACGACAGTTCCGCCTGAAATGATGGGATTTCATGCATAAGATTCTTTAAAGTTTGCCTTATCTTCCTGCACATATTAAATTAGATCATTTCACATCTCTTATAGCACTTTAAATGAACATTGGATAAAGAAATTAATTTAAAATATACTTTTAGAGAACTGAAAGTGAAATATATAGCATGCGCTATGATAGTATTGTAATAAAGGGATACGATCGAAGAAACAAAGCAAGTGCCGTAACCGATGCCTAAAAGTTTCTTTCAATAAATTCATGGCCATTTTAAATCCATTTTAAATAATAAATATATTCCAGAATATTATTCTTTCGGCTTAGTTAGGTCACATATAAAAAACTTAAATATAAAAAATGAATAAACTAAGTAGAAAAGGTACGCCTATTTTTATATTTTTCACCATATTTTTCATTAAGAGAGCGCAAAAATGGAATATGACGCCAACCATCACACGGCTTAAAAAAAACGAACTCCTTCAACTCCTGTAGACGACGGAGAATGTTCCCTAACCAGCGAAGGCGGCGCTATGTGATAACATTATTAATGCAAGTGGTATTTGAATGAAGATTGATGCGATCATATGATATTTTATCTGCTTGATGGATCCGTAATATGTACCTTAGACAAGAATGGTCAAAGGTAGATAGCTTCTTAATATCCTCCACTCTCATTGGCCATGTCTCAGAACCATATAGCAAGATCGAATGAATCACGGATATAGATGCGGACTTTTGTTTTAATGGTAATTTCACGACGGCTCCACAAAGGTATTGTCAACCGGAAGAACGTGTTTCTATATGCCGTGACCCGGGCTGTAATATCGTCTTTTGCCTGGCATTTAATATTAGAGTGGACCCAAGATATTTAAAATCGGGCACCTCCTCGATCGGCAATGAATTTACAAAAAGAGTCATTTTATCAGTTTCTTGTACATAAGACGAAAAGATTTTCGTTTTGTACACATTGATCCTGAGTTCTATTCTTACTGCAGTTCCTGACTGCAGTTATTTAGTATTACTTGCATTTCGTTATAACTATAAGTAAAAAGGACTACATTATCAGCAAATTCAAGATCTGTGATACGATGCTCTGGACTGATTCGGACACCTCTTGAGTGCCGACAAGCAGTGTCCATTATCCAGTTGAATATTGTGGGGGAAAGGACGCATAAAATGCCTTTATGAGTCGAATGATTTTCTCTGGGCCGTCACGTTCCATCACCCTTCAAAGTGCCTTATCAATTGAATCGAGAGCAGTCGATAAAACACGTGACAATGGGTTGCAAATATCCGAAGAAGAGATGAAGGGATGTTCCAACACCTTTCTTAACGTGAATGTCTGGTTAGCACAATCTAGTCTCGGCCTGAATCCAGCTTGATTAGGGCGCATCCTGCTGGCTCCCGTGCTTCCATAAATCTGTTGAGTAAAATGGAAGCAAAAATTTTCGCTGAAAGGTCTAGGCTGATTCCTCGATAATTGTCACAGTATGTCCTATTATCTTTCTTGAGAATTGGGAGCAGAATTGCTTTGCTCCAATCATCTGGTAATATTTCTTTTTTCTGTATTAAAGAATACATTTTTTGAAGGTGTGTTGTGAAGGACAATGGACAGCATTTGAAAAGCTCAGTCGAAGGCCATCTTCTCCCGTAGCCTTATTGGCCTTAAGCTCATTGATAACATATTATTTCTTCTTCTGTCAGGTTTTTGTGGAGCTAACATCATTGTCTGGTTTATTGGAAAAATTTCAGTTCTTAATTCTCAAGGTGCTCCAAAATCCAAATTCGCTCATGGTTTCATACGAAAATTGATGTCATGGATAAGGCATGATTATAAAGCATGATCATGGATCTTTTCTGGAGGATTGGTCTTATAAAAGCCCAGTAAAGCGACATAATAAAATTTTTCCTTGATTTAAATGTCGATTGCAATTCTATTTGAAAGTTCTGTTTGAAAATTCGCAGGTGATATTAACGCTGATCGAAAGTCATGTCGCAAATATACGAAAACATTGATGATTTTTCTAGAAATCTTACATTAATATCAAAAAGCAAAGTTGTATATTTGCTAATATGTAATTTGATCTTTTCGTTGATTCATAGGCTGTTATGGTATGAAATATGGAATCGATAAATTGATTCATCCTGAAGAAGTATATAGTTCTCCTTTTTGTAATACTCATTATTACTGGTTAGGCTGGCTACAAGGATAAAACTGAGCTGCGAGGTCTGATACCATCGTTGATAGTCACAGAAGCCATCCTTTTTCTCATCTTCACTGCTGGTCCACTTATACATTCAAAATCTTTTTTGGCCATATTAATCCAGATCTTGATTGGTCCACCTCGCTTTCGACACATTGCAAGTTTTAGCACGAAATATGCAGCAACTCCTGTGGTGAATGATAGAGAGCGTGCCCTAACCAGCAAAGGCGACGCTATGTGACATTATTAATACAGGTGGTAGTTGAACGAAGGTTGGTGCGATTATGTGATGATGTGACTTTATCCGGTAGATGGACCCGTAAAATCTATCTTAGACAAGAGTGATCAAAGGCAGATAACTTCTTAATATCCTGCATTCTCAGTGGCCATCTTCCACAGCCATATAACAATATTGAACGAATCGCGACTATATAGGCTTTCATTTTCATGGTGATTTCGCAATAGCCCCATAAGGATTTCGTCAACCACACACACTTTCCAAGAATTTCACCTCTCACGCAGCGGTACGAATGCCCCCGTCTGTCCCTCTTAACCATTATCTCAGATCAGAAAACCAACAAAATAGAACCGAGATCCTATTCTATTATTCCATGCACGAATTCAGGCTTTTAAGCCCACAAAATAGAACCGAGATCCTATTCTATTATTCCATGCACGAATATTCAGGCTTTTAAGCCCGCATTAAGCACTCTAATTTTTTCAAGGTAAACTCGCTAGCCACCTTACGCGACCGATCAAGGTAACGCAAGGAAAACCAACATAGATTAGCCTACGATCATAGTTCACATCCAATAAATGGACCATGTCGTCAAGCTGGATTCCAACTACGAGCTTTTTAACCGCAGCAATAACGATATACACTTTCTAGCTGACGTGATCCAGACTGTAATATCGTCTTTTGCCTGGCCATTCGGTATTAGAGTGGATTCAAGATTTTTAGTTGGGTATTTCGTTATCGGCAAGATGTCTAGATGTTTTGTCTAAGGTGAAAATATATAAGGTGAAAAGATTTTCGTTTTATTCATATTGGCCTTAAGTCCGATTCTCGCTGCAGTCGTTGATAATTGTCAGCAAAAAGGATACTTCGTCAGCGTTCAATATTTATGATACGATGCTGTGGACTGATTTGCATACCTCTTGAGTGCCGACAAGCAATGTCCATTATCCACTCTATCGTATAGTTGAATATTGTCGTGGAAAGGACGCAGCTTTGACAGCAGCTGACACCAGTTCTTATTTCTATCAGTTCCCCATGTACATGTATGTTGATAAAATGTTTCATGAGTCGAATGATCTTCAGAACACCATCACGTTCCATAACCTTCCAAGCGCAGTTCTATCGAATGAATCAAAGGCAACCGCAAAGTCGATGAAACACGTAACGGTGAGTTGCAAAGGTTATGGAACGTGATGGTGTTCTGAAAACACCCTTCTTAACGTGAATATCTGGTCAGCACAACTGCGCCTTGGTCTGAATCCAGCTTAATTAGGACGCATCCTGCTGTCTCGTATTCCATGAGTTTGTTGAGTAAAAGGGAAGCAAAAATTTTCGCTGAAACGTCTAATAGGCTGATTCCTCTATAATTGTCACAGTATGTCCTATCAACTTTCTTACTTGAGAATTGGGAGCAGAATTGCTTTGCTGCCATTTGGTAATATTTCTTTTTTACATATTAAAGAGTACATTTGTTGAAGGTGCGTTATGAAGGACAATGGACATCATTTGAAAAGCTCAGCCCGAAGACCATCTTCTCCTGGAGCCTTATTGGCCTTAAGCTTACTGATAAATTATTTCTTCTGTTGGAGGCTCGCAATTGCAAGCGTATCCTTCGGCAAACGTATCAGCTAAATCAGGGACAACAGACGGCTTCATGGTTATGTTTGGTCTCAAAGAATTCTTTCCATCTTATGTGGCGATCCTTAATACTTTTGATCAGTACGCCATTGCTGTCTCTTACCATTTCACTGATCGTTCCCCGAGTAATAATTGCTTTATGAAGAAGGCGGAATAGTTTCCTATTACCGCCTAATCGAACTGCCGCCTCCATTCTTGAGGCCATGTCACTCCAATAGTGATTTCTCCCGCTGTGCTGCTTTCGTTAAATCTTGGAAAATCTTCTTCTTCTTCTTGAAAAAAATCTTGGAAGCATCCGGGATCAGTTTGAAATGCGTTCACTGCTCCTGAATTTTTCAATTTGAAATAGTTGAAGGATCTTGGGAGATACTGTTTTTTGCAAGTTGTCAATTTTATGCGGGTCGAACCATAACATGGTTAAATCCATGAAAATTGCTGGTTTCAGCGCCGCTATAGGAACGACTATTTATTTTGGAACTCTATCAACGGCGACTGACTAAAATATAATCATTCTGGTTGAAGTATTGTATTGGTTATCCGGAAAATTCCACATGACTGGACGTTTTCTATGATGCCGAAAGCAAGTATTAGTAACAAAAAGCTCTTAGGCATAACGAAGAAGTTTCTCATTGGGCGCGCCGTTTTCCGATGCCATATTTGCCAATTGTCGAGGTCATCGCAGCGGCAATATGACTTACGCGCGCATTCCAGTCTCCCTCGATTATGACCATGTCATATTTGGGTAGAAACTTTGTTAGCATTTGCAGTTCTCATATAATCACGGTCATCTGCTGATAAAGTTAAGGGCATAGACGCTTATGGCCGAGATATTGCAGAACTTACCCTTAAAACGGGTATAGGCGATACGATCGCTTACCGGTTTCCACTCAATCAAATGTAATGGGCTTTGTGATCGCTTAGCTTTCAACGTCCAAAAGTGTTCTGACGCTGATACGGCTAATACCTTACCGCACGTGCAGAGAGCTGTTGCCTTTTATAGATTTCGAGCAATTATCGTGGCTTGCTAGTACATTCTATTTATTAGCCTTGGGATTTCTTTACGCCCGGATTGTATATTTATTGCATGCATCACCGCGCTGGGAGTATCATGCACGTCGGAAAACGCGGATACCGTTTCAAAAATAACTGACCCTCATAAGTATGAGAATATGAATTACAAAATTCTTGTTAGAGATAAACTCTTAGTTTCGCAGAAATATTTAAAAAAGTCTTTTTCGCAATTTAGCACAAATTTAATTTAAAAAGATTGTCCATTTAAAGATGTTATGTTATTTTAAAGGACCATGACTGTTTTCTTACTTTATTTTCTATTATAAAGTATTTATATATTCAAAAACTTCCTAATTATTCTAAGAAGATCGAAATAGGATTATTTTCTGAATCTTGATATTATTTAATAAAACATCTAACCTTTGAATATTGGACTAACTTTCTGCCACACACTGAGACAACCTAATTTATGGAACTGCCCTAATGCTAGTTCCATATAAAATATTGGCAGACCCCCGATGACCAACATTATAAGATATGGAGCAAGAAAGGCACCTTAATTACAATATTTTATTTACTTATTTATTAAGGAAATATTTAGCTATTGAAAGCTATTTAGCCTCAGTTATTTGTGGAACCACTAAACCACAAATGGTAAGCACCATTAGAAGTTTTTTTCTAAGTTAATCTCACATGGATAATTTTGAAGCGAAGTACAAAAAATCAAATACATAAAAAGTAATCAAATACTTTTTTTTCTTTTATTCAATCCTATATTTTTTTAATAGAAACTTTTATCATATTGATACCTCCACCATGCCGATAACACACTGTAGGAAATCGCCAAACGTTTCCTAGATCAATCGCATAACCGACCAAGGCAAGGAGAAATTCGATTTTGCTGGCCCATTTTTCGCGCATAGTATTTGATTGTCCTTGTATCACAGTTTTGGATGTAGGTGATGACGACATATCCATTTCGCAATTTTAAATTGCTATAAGCTGTTCTGAAAAATAATTATGAAAACGAGAAAGGGAATAAAATTTTATACAATGAAAACTAATTTTTCAATGAGGTTGGAATCAAATAAGGGCGGTTTTCATAGTAAACATTTTGCTAAAAAAGATTATTGTCCCATTTTTTTTCATTCATTTTTTGAGCCGTCGTTCTTACTAATAATTATTAATTTATTTTTATATTGATAATTTGACAGTCAATAGATTTGACAATTAAAATATATTTGTTTAAACACATTTATCAAACGAAAAAAATAGCCTTTGCTCCAGACATATTGCCACTTTCATGGAAAAACCAGAAAGAGTGTTCAGAGATGTGTATCGACAGGTTTTGATAATATTTCAATTCGTTTGAGAATAAAAATCTAGACTGAAGAAAAAAATACATTCAGTTTTACTTTCCTTCACAGAATTTGAAGTTATAAATTTATGAATTTTTTCTTATATTAATAAATTTTTCAGGCTATCTTGCTACAAAAGCAGCAACTCTTTCGCTTTCGCTTTCTTACCTTTCTTTAAAAACTTTCAAAATCATATCTTATCACCTTTATCATTTTTATTTTTGCCCAAATGTTTTTTCGAAAAGAGTATATTATTCTTAATATGCTTCAATGTTCAGAAAAAGTAAGTAGAAACTGGCTAGCATGTTCCAATTAGATTCACTCAAGTGGCTAGCAGTAAAATAAGAGTGTTTGCCAGAGAACCCAGAGGCAAATAGATCCTCTAAATTTGGCATTTTTTAATCGAGACAGATTTCTTACTAGGAGAACCAAGATGTACTCGATATAATGATCGTAGTCTTTACTAAACGGCTATTTGGTCATTTAGTGGGCTTAAGTGAATTCCTCCTGTATTGATTGTAGTTTTTGTATTGATTGTACTTTTCGAAACATTTTTTGATTGATGTTTTTTATTGTTTTAGATGCGAAAATCGTGGTTTAAAGACTACAAGAAATAGTGAAATTCTGAATAACGAAATGTTTTCACAGAAAAAGATTAATCTAACCGATAATAGATAGACAAATCTTCACCAACAACAATTTTTATGGCTAATTTCTTAATTCCATGAAGCAAAGTGAAAAACCAAGTTCAGATTCATTTCCACAGATATTTCTTACAAATTATAATTCAATTCTGTTTTCTGCCTAAATAAATCCTAGAAATTAAATGGCTGCCAAAAATGGTAACATTATCCTATATCCTGAATGAATGAATTATATATTTATATAAAAATTATATATTTATATATTAATTTATATAATTACATATTTATATATTTGTATATTTTATATTTATATATTTATATTTAAATAATTATATATTTTTACATATATTTATAATTGAACTGTATAATATACTTCAAAATAAAAACAAATAAAAAATCAAGATCTGTGCTGCAACTCAATTTCGCCAACTATCCGTGATATTCATTCAAAAGGACCGAAAAAGTTTCGCTTTTTCATTTTTTTTATTTCCATTTCAAGAGCATTAATGAATGATATTCTTGCTGAAAATTTGTTTTCCTTGCTAAAAACTTTTAAAAAGTTTTCTTAGATTTTGAAATTAACTTCAAAAAATTGCGAAATTGCAGTAATCCAATTAGTTTTATTAATGAGACGAATAAACAAGAATAAACCAATTCTTTGTCAGCAACCATGCTTTTCATCGATATTTAATATGCATTATATGCAAAATCCAAAAAACTGAAGAATATTCAAAATTTGTTTTCAAAATTTTGAATATTCAATATTCAAAATTTATAAAAATAGTGCTTGCATATACATACGAGAAGCAATTTACTATAGAAGCGATTTCATGGAGGCGAGTTGAAAATTCGAATAATTCAGTATTTGCTGGCTTCTGAAATTCGTAAAAATTTTAAATAAACTTCCTCTTATTTGCTTCAAAGGTCTTATCATTTATATCCTATATCCTATTTGTGTGGTTTAATATAATTATTTAATATAATTATTTGACATATGGGCGCGGTTATTGCGTTTAGGCTAAAACAGCGTTTATTCAGGACCAGTTATTTAAATGGATGAAATACAAAATTGTTTATTCTTGCACGAGAATTTCCACATCTTTAATTATATTTAAAAATTTCGAAATTATCAATTTTCAAGAACATCTTGGCTATTGCCTGGAAGGACGAAGGACGAGTAACCAAGTGATTATTGCACTGCCATTTCAAGCACTATGGCTGGCTATCATCTCCTCCTTTGCCGTAAAACTGTCATTTAAGTGTGCGGATGAGACTAAAGGCTGTACTATTATTTATATTTAGCATATTACTGGCCAAGTTGGTTGATCATGATAGCAATCAATAGAATAAATTTAGATCAATGCTAACCATTAAATCGTTTATATTTAAGCGCAGCCAATATTGAACCATCACTTATAAACAAGGCCTTTAAACCATAAAAGAATAAAATATCTTCAGACTTTATGCCCAATAAAAAATTTCTACCCTTTATCTATCAGTTTAAAGTTATTTGAAGTGAAGATGTATGGCAGTTAATTATCAATGAGCTCTTACCAATAAATTTGTTTTAAAACTACAATTAATTAAATTTCAGCAAGAAAAAGGTAATGGACAGATTGATTTATTTTTCGATATTCGATATCAAATTGTTTACAAAGGAAAAAAGGCAAAAAATTTATTGGAAAATTGTTCCTAAAAATACTAAATGAAAAGGAGTTCTTGCGAACTTTCAACTTTTAATGCATCCTTTTGTTGTATATTTACACCTCAGGCACTTTTAATAAATGGCTAGAAATGGCAGCATTTCCCAATATTTCTAGTTAAACTGGCTGCCTTTTAAATGCTGTTGGAAATTTTTGTCAGAGAATCACGATAAAAATAAATAGATTGTAAACACCATTCGGATTTTTTTAGTGATAGAATAACTCTTGTCAGAAGCAATATTCGAGTCTTGATGCTCGAGAAGATAATCTGAAAAACAAATAGGTATCTTTCTTCCACTGATTTATTAGCCTCCATGTCTTGAATAGTTATTTTATCTTCTTCTTCTTTATAACTCTCGCTGTTACTAAAATCAGGCTAGCTCCGTTAGCTGCAAGGCTACAAAGCTTTTTTAAACTTTTCGATCTGATGGTCTTATGGCATAACTAAGGTGACTACCAGCATAAGAAACGCTTATGACGATATAATTAATGCAGATATTTGAGCATATAAATTAGGTGCAACCATGTCATTTATCCGCTGGGCAATTACGAGTAAAATGTGCCTCAGAGAGATGAATGATCAAAGGACAAATTTATTTTTTTGATATCTTTCATTATATAATAAGATGGTACACATTGTAGCCAAATAGATGAGAATTTTTGCTTTAGTGGTGATTTAGGGCGATTTCATAAAGGTTTCGTCAGACCAGAGGACGCATTTCTATCATTTCTATTATTATGTGTTGCTGCTATTTGGATTTGGCAGCATCTTAATTATTTGCTTCCACTATATACGGCGATGATCGTGGTAAAAATAGCTTCCATTTAGAACTTTAAACAGCATAAGACACCTAGCGTTGGCGTTCCAATGTGCTACTGGATTTCGCTTTGCAGAAATAGTTACATTCGACTTTTCGGATAAATATTTCAATTAATTTTATTGTACTCTGACCAATCGCCGTACAATCGAGACATGCATGTCGGAAGACACGTAAGCCATTCGAATATTTGACATATTCACCAAATAGACATTTGGGAACAAAAATAAATGTGTGTTTCCAACAACCACGCAGAATTCTGATAGGTTATTCTTGTCAAAAGAAAAGGTAAACAAATTTCGTCACGGAGATCGAAAGTTTCGAAGAATAAAGAGGTATTTTATATTATTATCACTTATTTAAACAGAAAAGAAAATGAAAAATAAAAAATAAAAAATAACCGCCCATTAAAAAATAAGAATTTATTGTCAAAACGACCGCTCTTCGCTAAAAAATATTTGTTCAGCTATATTTTCTTGTTAAAAATACATTTTCTTGCTGAAAAAAGTTTAAAAATTCTGATGCTTACAAAGGAATTATGCTCTACATACGCGAGATATGATAAACAAAACAAAATAGTATGAATATACCAATAAATATACCTGTAAAAAATGTATGAATATACAAAAATATGATTAGCTTGGCTATATTATCATCAACTGTACTGGCCAATTTTGTGGCCAATTTTTTAGCTCCAACAGGGCGTGTAAAATTAGAATTAGAATTATGAAAATCGTTAAACCATATCAAATTCCTTATCTATTTTGCAATTACTTTGTCAAATTTCAGTATTTCATAGGAATTTTGAGTGACAACTTGAGGCAAATTGAACGATTGACGAAAGGATTAGAAAATTTTGGAATATTTTAAGAGTAGTTGAACATATTTTGAGTATGCGGTAATCCCTTCGCAAATTAAAAAAAATTAATCGTATGGAGAAAAGCAGTGAAAGTACTGAAAATTTCCTATTCACGACTTTCCGAAAACTTTAATTGAACTATTGGTTTGAAAGTGATCTTGAAATTTTCTAATTCTAGATTAGTCACCCTCATATAGGAAGATAGATTTCCTGCTACACAGTATAACAGACTGATTCACGAAACTAGCCTAGCGTTATAAAAATATTGTTTTTTGCATATAAATTTTTGCCAAGGTCGCAGTGGGTAGCACCACAAGATATGGTAAAAAAATCATCACATATGAAGTGTGCCGTTTTTATAGATTTTCTGCTACACAGTAAAAAAAGCCTTACGAAAAAAGCTAATAAATTCATCCTGAAAAGAGAAGAGACGAAAATACTTGAATATGAGGTATACGAGTTGCTCGAATTCAGTTGAAAATAACGATCTCTGCATTCAAAAAAAATTTTTTTTAAATCAACGGAAAAAATAGTCAAATGAGCTGGGTTTTTTTTCTATTTATTTATTTTCTATTGTATTCCTATTCTATTGTAGGATAAGTCAATTTTCTTGAAACCTCCACTGTATCATACTAAAGGAAATAGGCAAACATTTCTTATAATTTTCGCATAACCGATTAGTTTTCGATTTCGCAAGTCCTGTGCAAAAAACTTGACTGGAGATTTTTACTTCCAATATTTTCCTTAAAATTATTTCGGAAATCTGCTCCCCATCTATATAGACTTTTAAATTCCCTGCCATGCAGTATTTTTTGACCGATAAAATCATCATATATTCTCCGGCCAGCATTCAATCTATGGGAGATGGATAAGGCACTCGATAGCACCAAGAATGGCTGCGATAATGACGATGAAAATGCTTCTACACAATGTTAAATGTTTCTACACAATGTTCCTCAGATCCAACTATTCTCCACGCTTTCCCTATTCCCAAGATATACCCAAAATGATCAAAATGCTTTCTTGGAAACTAATGTTTTTTGTATTCTTGTTCTGAGATGGAGAGGGAAAAGATTTATGCCTCTCAATTCGTTCTTGTACCTTTTATTCCATTCCTTTTGTACCATAAAACAGTCTACTATTATTCAGTAATATCCTAATATCTGTACCAGCTCTTGTCTTTCTTATTATCTCAATTCTCGCTGGAGAAAAACCCATATTTGTTTTTGACGCACAATATTTAGTGATCGCTATATCTCAGTTTCGCACAATGATGTTTTAGGGATGAAACGATTGTTTTTTTTGGAATGATATAAACTATTCTGCAAAATTATGAAATGAAAAAGGGAATCAAAATCTTTTGCAATGTTCCATGAAGACTGATTCGATGATAATAATGAAAGTAATAATGAATAACAATAACAATACTTCATTTTGACATATTATATAAAATAACGAGGAATTTTCGCAATTCAAAATAAGTATCAAAAATTTTTCAGTTGTTTTTCTTTATAAAAACTGTATAATAACCATAATTATATTATAATAAGAAGCTTAAAATATTAAAACGTAGTAAATTTTAGGTATTTTACTTTTACTTCCTTATAATAATCATTGATTATAGAATTATTCAGTTCAGAATTATTCAGTTAAACTGGTGTGATTATCTGCTGAAGGAAAATGTTCCCTTGGGTAGCTATGGAACTAGCCAGATTAAGATTAACCTTACCCAAATTTGGTAATTTGATATGGTATTGCATCTTTCCTTTTGTCTATCCTTAAGCTTTGTGCTATATATCTATAATATATTTTATACTAGTTCCATCATTTATTCTCTCACGATGCTAAACTAAAAATTTTAAGTAATATGGATTAAGCTAAATGGCTTAATGTGGAGATAAATGGGAAAATTTGTTGAAATTGAAAGAAATTTATTCCGACTAATTTTTGCGTTCAACAATGCAAAGCTAATTTTATTTCGTTAGTTAATATGGCCAAATGTGTAGATAATCATTTCAAGAACCGTAGTTTGAGTAAATTTGCCATTAAGAAATGTAGATTATACCCCGGAATCCGTCTGCATTTCCATCTATAGATGAAATAAAATTGCGTCATCCTATAAATAACCAGTGGAAAAAACTTAATCAGAGATGGTAGATAAATGTTTGCCTACTAAAAGATTTCTATCCATATAATTCGCAAAAAATTAAGAAATCTAGCGGGGCATTACATCGAAGTTTTCCAGAAATATTGAAAATGACTGTGTGGTTTATTATTAGGCTTTGTTATTTGTTAAAACTACAGAAAATTTGTCCAAAATTTTTTTGAAAATATAATTTGAAAATTCTTCAAGCTCGCAAGCTGGTTACAAAAAAAATACAATCAATATATAGATAAAAATCTGAAGTTAATTAAGCAGACAACTATATTCCTTCGAGTGAGTTTGAATCCACCATATGAGTTAAAGATTGTGGGTCACCTTCATGATATGCCATTGTTGATTGACAAACTTGAGTTTCAACTGGAGTTGTTGCCCGTTTCCATCGCTGAATGGCTAATTTCATCTACTGATCAAGGATTTCTCCTTTTCATTAAAATTTTTTTTAAAGGATCATGAAAAATTTTTTCAAAAAATGGTAAAAAAAATTCAGCTGTGATAAATAAAGAAGTATTCCAAGTTTGCAATCTTATAAATTTTAAATATTTCATACCTAAATCTTACGGTCTTTTCAAACTCCGTTGTTTTATGACCTTGAAAAAATTTAAATCCATACGAAAATATGCAAACTTCGTGTAAATTAATCTCCGCTCATGGCAACTAAGTTTTGTAGCAACAAGGCTGATCAGGAAAAAATATTTTTTTAAGACTCAAGGTCATCGTTATGACTTTTTAAGACTCATCGTTATGGAATAGGCCCTTATGTTAATTAGAAAAATTTACACAAATTAACTTAGAATTAACTTTTAAATAAAAAGAGAACCTGTAGAAAATTTCCTTTGGTCCAAAACATGAAATATATAGCGAAAATCGGTACGCTAAGAATAGAAGTGAGGCGCAAAATCCAACCAACCGTAACCGACCATGGAGGATATACATAATTGGGTATTTTAAGGGGTTCCATCGATGTATTGCATGCAGTGAGGATGAAAATTGTCTGAAGAATTTTTTACAAAGATTTTTCGCATATTTATTAATATGAAACATAAATGCCTACAGCTATGAATATGGGAGAGCATATCCAGCAAATCTGCCAATAAATTCCTGGGTAAAACCCAAGCATTTGGCGTATATCCATACTGAATCGTCGTACACCATAGAACCAGCAGACTGCAATCATTTCACATACAACGATAAACAATAAGGAAAGTGAAACACCATATTCATCAAGAAACGGTATCACATATGAACCACCCTATAAATTCAAAGTAATCATGAAAGTTTCTTCCAAATTTGCTATGAATTTATAATTTCTGGTTATTTAAAATAGTTCCAGGGTATAAAACTTACGTATGTAATAGTTGGAAAACTACAGAAATAATAAGTAATGATGACAACTCCAACGAATATTTCTCTATTTCTCGCCAAAAATCTCGGATATTCATCACAGAATCCCGTTATAAGGGCTTCGATACCACTGAACTGAAACAGATCAACAAGATCAATTCATCCTACCGTTGAACAATCTTGCAAGCCTTCCAGAAAACACTGGTTCCTGGTTCCCTTTGTTTATTCTTTTTCTAATATCTGGATTCACTAATGTTCCGTCCCACTTCTTACTAGATCTTTTCATCAAAGAATCATTTGAAGGTAACAATGTAGACTCTTCTCCAGCGACACTTGGATTTCATCTTTAATGGTAAGGTTAGTGCTATAAAGGGGCCGAGCTGTGGTGCTTATGCTCACAAATGAAGTAATACTCCACTCAACTACCTTGCCTTATTTCCATCTTCTAGGACCACAGCCGGATTAGTTTTGGATTTGCCTTAATGATCATTAGATTTTAAATTAAATTTGCAAAAAAGAATAACTCCGTACTGTACTATCAATCCCTAGAGTGATAAGCATCACAAAAAATATAAATGCCCAGATATTTGAATACGGCATTGTTGCAATTGCCTGAGGATATACAATAAATATAAGACTGGCTTCTTGATCACCGACTACTTCATGTATTGGACGTTTTGTTATCTCTGACATATAACCAAGAGTCGAAAAAATTACGAATCCAGCAAAAAATGATGTGCCGCAATTGATCACAGAAGTTGCTAAAGCATCTCTGTAAAAAAATTAATATTGGACATAACCACTCATAAATTAAAATTATTGTGTTTCACTACTAAACTGCTAAAGAAAACATGGATAGAATAGAAAATACAATGAACATTTTGAGCCTAATATGGAGATAAAACAGCCATGGTATTAAGAAAGTGATAAATGGTGATAAAATGATAAACAGATAAAAAAATTGAACAAACCGATAGCAGTTGTTGTTAAAATCATTGTAACTACTGAGTGCGAGCAAAACACCGAAACCCGGTCCAAGAGAAAAAAATATTTGGGTGGCTGCGGCTGTCCATACACTTGGATCCAGAAGCTTTTTAAAATCAGGTGTTATATAATAGTATATACCAGTAGATGCGCCAGGTAATGTAACACCTCGAATTAAGAGCACAGTAAGAATTATATAAGGTGCAGTTGCAGTTACCCAAACGACCTAAATTCATTTTTTATACGACTTTTGAACTGATTAAAGATATAAATAAAACATCACAAAGAAAATATCAAAATGACATTTTTTTTCATAAGAAAAGATATTAATGACCTTTCCAGTACTTTTGGGACCTTTCCACAACGCAAAATATACAAGAACGAAAACAACAGCTAAACAAAGCGCTAACGACAATTTTATTCCACCAATTCCGTCAAAACCTGATGAACGTTGTATCTCAAGTACTTTGTATCTAAAACAAAGGTCGAGTAGTCATGAATGGTATCCAGAACTGCAAACAGCACCGAGTGCAAATGTTAAATTGTTGCAATTTTAATTTATTTAGAAATTTATTTAGAAATTTTGATAAAAATCACACTTTAATAAAGCGATCAATAAATCTTCCATAAAATAATTAAATTCCCTCAACTTAAAAATAAAAATATCAAACATATTCTTACAAAAAATATTCTTCCGACGGCGTTTTAAGTTTTTCTCCTTCTCTATTTAAAGTTTCATTAAGGCTGTTCGCACATAGTTTTGTATTCCATGGATTGTTACATGTTTTCCACGGTACTTCCGCCTGAAATAATGGAAGCAATCCATCTCATTATCCACTATTTTTCATTTAACTAGCCACATCTTCATCAGAGGGTGACATGGAAATAAATGCACAGAAAGAATTCCAGCACCATTTTAGTGGGACTGATCGAGGATTCTTGCTGGAAAAATCTATATTTTAATGCAAATTTGATTTGTTTTGGTATTTTTTATCTCGATTATGTGCTATTTCGCATTAATTTTTAATCTTTTCCCACCATTTAAAATTTTTTTTGCTTTATACAATATTTTACAAATTCTTAAATCTTCTTGATCTTCTTGACTTATTCGGGTCTTCTTGGGGAACACTATTAAACTTACCTAACGAAACCATCTTTTGACTCTCAGCACCATTTTTTACTGTGCTTTCTAAACACTCTCAAAAGCTGTTGTATCACCACAATATATTATATTGCTTCAGTGCGTTCCTTTAAAATCTCTTGGAATACGCTTTTTTGATATCCCCAAAGCTATTATTATCTTATTGTGTAAGTGTTTCTTCTAACAGCAGCTTATACTATATCACAAAATCACAATTTCACAAAAAAATATGCTCGAAAAATATGCTAGGAAGTGGGCAAAAAACCGTGAATTTGCATCTTCCTTTCTAATGCCCTCCAATTTCCTTTTTATATCCTCAAAGCTATCACTCTATTTATCATTCCATTTTGCCACATTAGTACTCCCATCAGAACTATTAACAATTATATAAAGCGAGAATTCAGCGCTTCAATGTGGCAGTTCCTTTTACGAGTTTTTTTATAAAATTCATATAGTAAAATAAAGGTTTCTTAAGCGTTTTTTCAGTTTTTCTTAAACCGACTAGACCGTTGATTAACTATTTCTAGAATTAAAATTTGAATTAAATTCGAGCTACCGATTTATTAAACGACACAATAAAAATATGATGGATATGTTTATGAGAAAAAGTTTGAATTTTTGTAAAAGGTGTAAAATTTTCAACAGCTTAGAAGATAAAAAACCTTGCATAAGCCCAATAATTAAATAAATTCAATCCAATAATCAATTACCTGTAGAGAACTAAAAGCGAAATACACAGCATGAGCTATTACTGTATTATAAAAACATGCTATGAACGAGCATATGAAACAAATTCCGTAGCCAATGCCTAAAAATATTTTCATATAAAAAGCTCATTAATATTGAAATCTAGAATTAAAATCATATCACCTAGGCAAAAGATAGGTAGATAGCCGCTTTCTATATTTTTAAGCAATTTCTAACCTTTGAACATTGGGCAAATTTTCCGCCATATACTGATACAGCCCGATTTATGAAACTGTCCCAATGCCAGTTCCATGTAAAACATTGGGAGGCCTCCAATGAGTAACATTACAAGATATGGTATGAGAAAAGCACCTTAAATTAATTTAATAATAATTGTTGCAAATACAAAACCATTACACCAACAATGTAAAAATTCAAAGTAAATTTCAAGAAGGAGAAGAAGAAGAATTTCAAAACAATTATAAGTATGTCAATTACTATAAATTATGGTGCAAATCTTCATGATGCAAATGTTTACCTCCGCCGTGCCGATAACATACTGAAGGAAATCGCCAAACATTTCCTAAATCAACCGCATAACCGATGAGTGCAAGGAAAAATTCAATTTTGCTGGCCCATTTTTCGCGCACCATACTTGTTCGTCGTCGAGCCACAATTTTAGACAGTGCTGAGGAGACAGGAGATGAGGCAGTAGTTTTAAGTTTTTGGACTGATATAATCGGTTCTGCAAAATAATTTAATAAAAATAAGTAATAAAATTGATTACGGAAATTGATTAATTGTAACCATAACAATATATATTAATGATATTAATGATAAGTTTTATCTTTTTATCTATCTTTTCAGAGAGGTTTTGTCGATTTTTTTGTCTTCTTTCATAAGTTCACGAAATGCTATGAAGTAATTGCGATCTTTTCAAAGTTATCAATTATCAATTATTGAGAAATATACCCAGAGGACAACATTTTTCTTTTTCTTCTTATAAGGAACATTTCTGATCCACTGATAATTAGGATGAATAGTCGCTTGTACGAAATATATGTAGATCTCCATTTCTGATTTCACTTTTAATGGCTAATTCGTTAATAGCTCAAGAATCAAATCTATATTGGCTTGGCCTTAGCCAAAAAATAGCACTCATTCATTATATATATAAAATGGCCACAAAAAACTAATATCAAACAAAAAAGAAAAGCAATGGCAAATATGCAAATATGCAAATATGAACCATACCATCCATTGTCATTGGAAAGATTTCTTGTTGCATTGCTGTTTTGCCATTTATCACCACAATCGTATTCATTTCAGAGGATATTGTCGGCATGGAAATTGTGCCAAAATATGAGAATCGCTTTGCTTCAACGAATTCCGTATGCAAAAATCATCAGCGAATATTAATTACTGTGAATATTATTAAAGTCTTTCATCGGTAAAAGGCTTCAAATAAGTTACCAGTAATTATTCACAAAATCCTAAATTAACGAAGAAAACCCATTAATTATGTTAATGTTATTGTTAATCTATACGAAACAAATATTTTTGCGAATTTTAAAATTTCTTTTAAAATTTCTAAATATGATTGAAAATTTTTTGAACAACTCATTCGCCATCTATCAATTTGATAGGAAGACAAAAATGAAAGAAAATATTCATTGTATTTGAAATTCACTAGAAATATACAAGAAAAAAATCATTTCAAAAATTTTTAATTTTTTTAACTCTGAAGATGCGCACTTATCAGAAATTTTAGATAATGCCTTGAATACGCCTAGAATTTATATTTCATGATGAAAACTAACTAAGAAAACTGTGATAAATAATATATTATCTTATGGTCAAAATAAGATACGATAAATTGATTTTGATTAGTTGCATTGCAAATTGAAACATATGAAGCCATAATTTTAACAAAAAAACAAGCACAATCGAGAAACTGGTCTATTAAATGAACCGTTTTCAAGAAATTGAGAATAGAACTTTTTCCGATTTGAAAATGAAAAATCTATGAATAGTGACGGCAATTTCGCATTTTTCTTTGAAAAGCTTTCATTTCTGGTTAAACTCAACTGACTTGTCAGGCCAAAAAAGTTTTGCAAGGAACTTATTTGGCAATCTCCACTACTACTCGAATTCACAGAATACAGGTTAGCTTCTACTGAAATTAGAACTCAAAAATAAAGAGCAACCATTCTACTCTTACGATGGATGGATATGGTTGATGAAGCTTTAAAAAATAAAAATCAGTTAAGAATAAAGTTTATACGTTAAATACGTTAGAACTTTGATTCATAACGGGTATTTTACAAATAATCGAAATAAATGAAATCACACAGGTGACTTTTAAAACTGCAGCAGGTACAAATTTCAAACACAAATATTCTACAGCATTGAAAACTAGAAGGTGTTTTAATTAAAACTACAGGTAAACTTGAAGGTACTAAAAAAGTAAGATTATAAGATTTATTCGCCGGCACCGTTTATGAGTGGATATTTCTATTATTATCCGAATATATTTTTCTTCAGTAGAATTGATTTAAGTATGGTTTAAATAAATTATAGTAATATTGATAGCAAATTATTATTATGATAACCATGGCTTAAGTGGCAAAAATTTCGTCTTAACAGGCATCGAAACTGGCCTACTCAAAAGTTGTAATTTCGTAACTTTCTTCATATGGAGGTTTCAAAAAGTCGATGTTTTTTGCTGAAAATACTTTCAAAATAGCGGTTTTTATCAATATTTTTCAACATATATAGGTTTAAATAATCCAGACAGTTCATATAAATATAATGTGGCGATTCAAGAAAAAAAAGTTTTGGAATGACCTTTTCTGAAATTGTTTTATCATTTCTTCGTATAATGCTGCAAAATTAGACCACGCTTAAAGCGATCCGTAAACATTTGGCTATGTCGACGAGTCACTTTGTGAATTAAATAATTTTCTGGAGTATAGATCTAATATTTATCAAAATATAAACTGAAAACTACTGTTAGTACGAACAAAATGACTTGGCTTATGTACTTGTTGGGCGAAAATATTCGTTTATTCTGAGGATGAATGAAAGATTTATGTTTAAGATTCATTTTAATGAATATTTTGCGGCAAAGACCGGAAAGCAGATAATCTTTTCCAGAGTTATTCGCAATTTATGACCACATACAAATCAATTTCAGCTGCTTTATTTTATCTTTTCCGAAAAAAAAATTAACTTTTATATAGCATTCTATAAAGATGACAAGAAGAAGAAGTTTTGCTAAAATCAGTTGGAAATGAATTGAGGTAAACTTTAAAGAAACTCAAAAAAAATTGGTCATATTGTTAGAAAAATTTGTAAATATGCTACTATTTGAAAATGGTAATAATAGCAATGTTAATGAAGCCACATAGACATATGGACTGAATAAGTACAAAACCATAAATGTAGCTGCAGGATGGGAGGTATTTTGTGAGAAAAATCCGTAAAGAGATTAGCATTATCCTTCATCAACGAAATCCGTTCTGAATTTTTCATTTAATTATGGGAACATGTTAAGCAACAAGAATGTTTGAAAATTCACTAAAAGTTAAAATTATTTTCTTGAATCATACAAATTGCCTAGATGTAACTTATTATTTCAAAGGCTTTGCAGACAGCATCATCTTATTTACAAATTATTTAAGGGCACATTAGAGTAGTTTGTTGTCCAGTATATGACGATTTGCTCATGGCAGTAAAAGTGCGGGAGTGGGGTTTTAAGGAGTGTGGTTTAACTGCGTTTCTATCCGTAAGTCTTTCTCTTTCCGTAAGACTTTCTCACAAAATAATGACCAAATGCTAAGAATCAATTGTTTCATTAACATTCACCATTTTTGGTTAAGCTCGCTTGTTGTACCACATAAATCTTTTCAACTTGGCTATAGAAGTACATATGCAACTCAACACTATTTGTAGCCAAAACGAGTTATATTTAGAATTAGTATAAGATAATCAGTTTCATTTATTTATATTTATAGGGTATCTAAAAATTTCGGTACAATTCGGTACAATTCGTCATGCTGCAACAATATAAAACTGGAATTTGGCCTAAATAAAATTTCCAGGCATGAGATTCCATCAATTTCGATAAATTCTATAAGAATTAGAAGACTGATATAACCGAAAACTGCCTTATAGTTTGTATTTATTTCTTAATAAGGCCTTAAAAGTATTCAAATAAGACTCATTCCTACGAATGGAGTTTGAAGATTTATCGAAGCCTACTTTATAGGCCTAGTAACTTCCATTAAATTAATGATGTCGCCATGAGAATTTTTCGATCTCAGTTAAAAAAATATTTTGGCCCTCTTGTTTAAAATTTCTTCTTTGTTTATTGCTTAAAAATTGAAATTTCTTACATTTATATAGCATTAAATTTAACATATAATAATAAATTTGGCTTTTGATATCACATCTTTAAATTTTTTTCTGCATTCTATTCATTCTTCTTATCCTTTTATGAATTCTCAATAAGTAAGTGGTTAGCTCGCTCTATTGGCTGTTACTCGAATAATACAATTTAATCAGCTGTATAAGTATAGTGCCCACTCTGATTTTCCATTTTCTCTATATATATACATAATACCTGAAAGAAAATTATACGAATATAGGCAGACAAGTACTATGTGCATATATGCATTAAAATTAATGGTATTTTACGTAGATCCCAGGAAATAAGAATTAGATAAAGATTTCCAGACAATAAGAAAAATAAAAAAAATTCACTGAAGAAGAAATGAAGTATAAAATTATTTATTGATCAGAAACCCTTGGCACTTTTAAAATAAATGGAAACTAAATCCATGTTTTCTGAAATAGAAAGATCGTTTGGTTCATAAATTGGTTATCACTCTATTGCGCCCAAAACTAATATGAAAAACATTTGTTTTATGTGAATTTATTCTGTAATTTGTTACATAAAAGTTTTCAGCTGAGTTAGAATTAATCTTTCCTCTTGATCTTTCTAGACAAGAGTATTATTCCATTAAAAAAGAGTATTATGAAACTTGAGAATTCATTTGCACTGCTATTCTGATTCTGATTCTTCATCGAAGGATTCTAACCCTAATAGTCACTTAAAACAGTCAAATGAGCTTATATTAGCGATAAGAGAGCGAGAAGTAATGTTGAATCTCTTCTAATTTTTTTCTTATATATCCTTCTTCTTTCTTTGGTGTATAAATAATTCATCCAAAATTCATTGATAATTGTGGTATATAAATGAAATTTTTAATTATTTGATCAAAAAATTTTAATAATATTTTGATAATCAAAATAATCATTTTACATCATTTAAACCATTTTTCAACGGACCATTGGTATATCCAAATCCTTTAATGACACACAAAAATTTTGATTAAAATTTGCCAATTCAAATAAAAGTCAAAGGATGAATTAAATATACAAATTTTTTGTATGGTATTATTGAAAAGATGGTTAGAAAAAACAAATAAAAATTAATATCAAAAGAGTAATGAAATTTTATTACAATTTTCATAATTGAATCACTAATTCATTCAAATGAAGTTTTATCTGTTTGAAGGATTGAAGGACCATTCGGAATTTCGAAATCAGGAAACGATTGTGTTCCTGTATAATGCGGTGCTGGCAAATAGCCGAAACAAAACGATGAACGCTGAGCTTTAACTGTCTGCAACTGTAGAATGAACTTATATGAAAGTATGTATAGAAAAACAATTAGAATATAGAAAAACAATTCAATTAATGAATTTCATTTCTTTTCTTACCATATCAGGTGGAAAAGCATTGGGTTGAGTAACAAAGGGATGCATTAACCCCGAAAATTCCTCTGGATGTGTCATCCATGTCCATGAAGGAATTCCTGTTGGTCCTGATGGTCGAACTGGCGGCAATTCCGCAATCGCACTACTCTCTGCCTTATCTTGCCTGCGCCATTTTGCTCTTCTGTTTTGAAACCAAACCTTAAATTTTTTAGTTCATTCACTTAAAACTAACTGGGTATTAAGAAAGTAAAAAATTAAAGAAACCGCAAATGTGTACAGTATTAGATATTAATCCCTTATGTCAATAAAATTCTTTGGCAAGAATTGCCAAATTCACATATTTGATTATTTTTCCTTTGGAGCCTTCCTTTGGCGAATATCGTACCACAATAATTATAGAGCTACTTTTTCAATTTGATAAATTAAAGAGGAATAAATACCAATACTGCTTTTCTCAATCAAAGGATAAAAATTGAACGTATCTTGCTTTGCCTGTTTAATTTATTGCAAAAAAAATTAATGTGAACAAGTTAATTTGATTAAAATGGACGATGATAGTCAATAGGAAATCAGCTAAAAGCCATAATAACTTGGTAACAGTGAAATTAATGATTTGCAAAAGAAACATTGCTGAAAATATTTTTATCCATACTGTTCTGAAAAAATCTTTCTCCTTTTTTCTCGTTTTAACTCGATGAAAAAGTATTGAATGATGCGATAGATCAAAATGGCATTTACATCCTAAGCTCTTCTGTTGCATTCAAAAATCTCAAAGAAATATGGAGTGGAGCATATTTTAATACTTTAAAAAAAGTCTGGAAGAAAATGGATTATGTAACCATGCTCTTATGCTTAATTGCCTGGCATTTTTGGAAGAATCGTCCTACGAATTGTCAGCACGGTGGGAAATTTTTTAAGAAGTCACTCGAAGATAGAATTACAAGTGGAATCCCAGTGCTATCCAGATTTTTTAATAGCAGATTTACTCCTGTTGAGGATAAGCCCAAACGCTGCAGCACAAGAGGGTAATATGATAGCGATATCCATTTATAATAACAACATGAAAGACTAACACAATACAATGCTAATAGAAAAAATTTTGCCAAATAATGTCATGGATGACTATTTGCAGTTCATTTTTAAAAAAAGACATCGATAGAGCAAATATCTATCAATAAACGTTATTCCAATAGTTGTTGTTACAAATGAAAAGATTAGAGACAACATTTTAATCTTAAAAATAGATTTCTATCTTCAATCTATTACCCTTCACCCGATAGAATGGCTCATTGAATTATTGCCACATTTCAGAGCGAAGGTGGTTCTTCATGTCTGGTAGTAAGCCTGTCTTTCAAAAATGCGAGTGGCACTGCCAACCCACCTGTATTTCTATCGCTAAATGAGCACTCATTAAAAAAAAATTTATTGCAGCTAATGCTATTCATAAAACTTAAATAAAGGTTTATAAGCACAGCCTAGATTAATGGAACGAAGCATTATCTCAAAAGTTGGCATCAGATCTTTTAACTGTCTTAATCGTTAATTAGTCCAAATCAAACATTTAAGTTCTACCATATGATAACTATAAAGATTGGCTTAAACAGTGTTGAACAATATAAGTTCAAAATTAATTTACATTTTCTAACCTTTTGATAAAGACCGAATAAAAATAATCATTTGCTTTTACAAGGTTTTTGCGAACGATTTAATCAAACAAAATGAAATAACGCGGCAATTGGCTAGGATATGGGAGAAAAATGATTTGAAGAGATTTTCATATTCCAGAAATTACCTTCAAATTTCTGTATTCTTGTGAAGCAAAAGTCAAAAAGATACAAGCGATTAATCTTACGCATAAAACTCGTAGATTAGAATAATCTTAAAGTACGTATTCATATTAACTGAGATTGTAGCATTTTTGGAAAAGTAGTAATTATTAAACTTAATTCGCATATGCGTACAAATGTGTCAACCAATTTGAAAAAGACGTTGTTTTATGAAATTTGAGAAATAAATCTTTTAATTGACATCAAAAGGTTACTAAGAAGATCATTTCGGCAGGGGTCATGAAGAAGTCTCATAGCAAAGGTCAAATAAAACCATGTACATTGATCAGACAAAAATTTTAGTTGCTGTTGGCTACGGTAAATAAATTTATAAAACATCAATCGTGATTAATCAAAAATCTTCAGCGCAAATGAAATTATTTGATCATCAACGACTAAAATAGTTTACGGTTAAATTGTTTAGTTTGACATTAATTGACAACCTTTTATTTATCGCATGGACAGTTAATGGAAAACTAGTTCACGACCTAATCAACGTTTGGCTATTTAGTTTGACTAATGCAAATCACTCGAAAAATAATGCTTTGAAAATTAAAATAAATATCTTCAGTTATTTTAGTTTGGTTAGCCTCACTGGCTATAGGAACGAGTCTATTTCGTCAGAGAACCACTTCAGCACTTAGGTAAAGGATAGACTATAACAACCACAGGTATTTCATTTAAAATGTCAAGTTTATTCTTGTCAAGGGATAGGAATAGAAGCAGCGATCTTAAAAGGTTATCAGAACCAAAAATAGAATAATACGAGATATTTAAAGCGCTTGATAAAAAGAAATAATTTAGAAAAATTATTTGAATAGTTATGGAAAGGATTGATGCAACAATAATAAACAGAAGTAGCGGATGGCATGTCACATCGACCAAGACAAAGCCATAATGGTTTCTAATCTTGTCTCTTAAAAGTAATTAATGAAATGGCTTTTATCCTAGCCAGTACAGAAATGGTGAATAGAATATATATGTATATGACAGTGAGATAACTAAAGCAAATATAACGAAAATATATACTTTAAGCTATAAAAAAAGTTATAACAAGCACAAATTTTTAGATTCGCCCTTGCATTTACACACACTTTTCCTGAAGAATCAGAATAAGTGGAAAACAAAACAATACTCAGTATTCTGAAATCAAAAAGAATGAAATGAATAATATATATATAATAAATACGCTACGCTAAATTACAATCATAATAAAGATGAAATAAATGAAATGAAATAATAATAAAACCGTAAAAAAGTATAACAACGCATAGGTTGTATATTTTTCTCTTCTAAATTCACAGTATCCACAATTTCTCGTTTGACTGGACATTATTGGACATTAGAATAAGACTCCGCACCAGAGAATCACTTGCAAACAGAAGCATATATGGACGCATCATCACACAAACTTCATTTTAATGGCTTGGCTATAGCCATGCAAAAATGCCTCTCAACCATCTTCACGTCAATTTACTATAATTGAACTGCAAGAAAATTCTGCGCTTGTATAAAACTTGTCTACTTTAATGGTTGATCATTTTTGCATACCTCAGAAGATTAATTCGTTACAAATATTCACTATTAATTATTCTAATTGTTAGGATTAAATCAACCGTATTCTATAATCAATCACTTTATTTCGTTGCTTATAAATATTTCAGTAAGGAACAACACCAATCCATCCAATGAATGTAATCCATTTTCGACAATTATTACTAATATCAAATGAATTAACCATTTAGGAATTCTCTTTTCATTAAATCAACATTATCTTAATTAAAATTTTTGCTTTTTTCATCATAGCGACACTACTGATAAATGCTTATTGAGAACTATATAATTATAATCAATATATGTTTAACAAGAAATAAGTGGTTAGCGCTTACTCATTGCAACTGGCTCCTAATAGGATAAAAATTCTGCCAAAAAGCCATTTAGAGATAGAAGCAGATAAGTCCTCAGTATCACTCGGATTTTTCAAATGATAAGTTGCCATGTGCAAACAGCAATACATGCCACCCGAAATGGTGCTATAAACAATAGTTACTCTACTAGTCTGGTCATCAAATTATTCTCTAGTTATAAAAATGAAAATTGTTGTTTTTTCGTGGCACCAGTGAAAGGATTTTTGATATTATGCAACCATCCATTATACCGTCTAGTAATATTTCTATCTCGATTGGTTTGTATAACATCATAAGATCACATGGTGAAGCCATTGAATAAGGAAATCGTAGACATTTAGCAAAATTTACTATATTCGCTAAAAAATTGAAATTGAAAAATTTCTGCAAATAGAAATTGAAATTCAAATACAGATTATTAATAGCTTTACTCGATTTGTTCCCAATCTTTTCAAACTAAAAAAATTTCTATTCTTTCGCTACACTCGATAATTTCAGGCAATAATTTTGCAACCATTCGTTAACTATAGTTTATTAAAATCCTTTGATGTAATTTGGCGAAACAAAAAATAAATGTACCGGAACGAATCAAGAACTAATTACAATAAGCCAGAATGGCCATTTGATAGATATTGAATATTCAATTAACAGTTGACCGCTAATGGACTTGAATTTCTTAAAACTTTAATAAATTTTTAATTTGCATAATTCAATTCAATTTTTTTCTATCACTTCCGGTTAGGCTTGCTTAGGCGAATTCGGATCAGACAATTTTTCTAGGGAATCACCTGATGATGCTAGAAGTATATGCTAACATAATTCAGATTTTTGAAAGGCAAAAAACCTAAAATTAGCATTCCATGGGTAAAGGCCAACGTATTTTACCCTACAAAGTATCATTTTATTTGCAATTGTATTTATACGAACTGAAAATATATCGCAAGCTAGATAGATCTGCGTATATTCTAAGAAAAAGGTATGCATTATAGAATTCTCTTTAATGGAATTAATGAAGCGTAAGATTCAGGTAAAAAATGATAAAAAGAAATGGAAATTATTACAGTCAGACAATGATCACCATAGAAATTCGTGATAACTCACCTGCACTCGCACTTCAGGTAATTTGACTTTTTGCGCCAAAAGCTGAAAAACTGAAAAATTTATTGAGAGAATTAAACAGAAACTTATAGCAGACTATAGAAGCAAGCGATTATAAGATTTTTTTCAAGGATGTTGAACCAGCATTTTACAAAAGGCATTGGGAGAATTGCTCAAAATCGTCATAAGATTGAAGATGAGGAAAAAAAGCTGAAGATCATGCCTCTCGCGAATATACATCGGGATAATGGCATTTTTCAAAAGCTTGTTCTAGTTCATGAAGTTGAAAAGTGGTGAATGTTGTTCGATTCCTTCGTTGCTTTTTAGTGTCTCTAAAAAAATAATTCTTATAAAATTAAAGAAAATAAGGACAAGCACCATATAAAAATAAAAAATAACAACTGGTAAAATAAGAGATTTCCTTATTCTTTGTTTATTTGAGCAGATTCTCAACACTCAAATTTTTAAAAAATGAGTTCTGCTTTAAAAAATTTCCATTAAATTTTAGAAGCATGAAAATCCATTCGGAAATTTGAATAAATTCAATTATTTTCATTGCCTTATTTTGTAGAGAGAAAAATGGCCTAGTAGAAAAATGGTCCTGTATTCTCTGATTTCGATCGAATCGCAAAACTGGTGCTCCACTCTCAACAGAAATCAATTTCTAGTCTATTTAGAAAGTCTATTTTTCAGATGAACCTAGTGATTCTTCTGTATTTCTATTGCTAATGATTTCCTAGCAAAATTTCCGCCAAGCCAGCAGAGCGAATATATGGTGAGTTTCCTTAGAAAAAAAGGATTTTAATGAAAATTTTAAATCAAAATCTATCAGAATGCCTTTCTCGACGTTTAAGCGTATCACCAGTTTGCAAATGTGAAACTGAATGCGAATGTGTGAGAATGTCTGGAATTTTCGCGTGAGTTGACTGAATATCCAGAATTTTCACATGATTTGATTGCATATCTGCAAGCTGTTTGAACTGATTCAGTTAATTATCATTAAAACAGCTGTGTTGTTTAATAAAAAGAAAAATCAGTGGACTCATGTATTTTTGCCAGTTTCTTTCAAAAATTTCTTGCCAGTTTTAAAGCTGAAATCTGAGAAAAAACGTTCACAAGTCTTATAGACAAGTCTTTCTCGTAAATTTTTTTTGTTAATTTCAATTTTAATAAAATGGAAAACAAAACAACAAAAAAAACCATTTCGGTGAATTAGTGAATTTATCGAATGATGACTACTGATAGCACCGTTCATGAATTCTTCCATGATGAAACGAACCAAGGTGGTTAAATGCCATTTGCAGTATTACGGTATTTTGTTGATGAGGCGTGGCTAGCCAAAATTGATAGGCGTTGTGGTTCGGCCATGGAAACATAAAAACGACCATTTGTCGCAGTTCTAATTGAATTAACAGGTGAATTAGTCACTGAAATTGGCGCTAGATGGATTTTTCGAGGAAACAATAAATTTAAAGGGAAATTATTTTTAATGCTGGTGCAAGAAACGAACAAATGAATATTTGCACAGAGAATTGTCCAGATTCACAATTCGAAAGTTCTCCTTTATCTTATAAAGTGGCAGGATGGTTGATTGAATAGTGATTTCCAGAGGAGAGGGTTCAGCTTCTGAGTGGAGTGGGCCTATCATTAAAAAATCCATGTGGTGCTGATGGCCGACCTATATATTTCTTCACCTAAGTGGCAAAAAATTTTTGGCAAATCTTTGGCAAAAAAATTTTTAATTCAGTTGACAGTCGACGTAGTAAGCTTAAGAAATGATGAACGCTTGTTTCATTTTTCAGAAATAATGAGAAGTATCGTAAAATCATGAATTAAATAACAATAATAACAAAAAGACAAATTCAAAATTGGATGGAAAAAAGAAATCAAGAATTCGCCAATTTTTCCACCGCAAAAGCCTTAGACTTTCAAAGAAATCAATTGATATAATGCAATTAAGTTGGCCAAAAAAAATTAAGCTACGCAATTATGAGAAAGAACATAATAGAAAATGCTAGTATGAAATGATAGCGTGACTCGTAAAATTTTTGAGAAAGAAGGTAAAGGAAACAATGAATAATATTGTCAGATAAAAATTATGCTGGCTTACTGCGGAGTTAAGTCACACTTTGGCTTATTACTTTATTACTTTAATTTTAAAATTTTAACTTAACCTATATATATTATAATATTAAATATATTGAAATATATGTATTACCGTTTATATATATATATATATATATATAACGGTAATATATAAAATATATTACCGTTTTTAATCGTTTTTCATTTTTAACTTTATTTTAATTTTAGTAAATTTTGGTTAACAAATGTTCATTTTGATTTTTCGTATATACTTCACATTTAAGAAAATGTATTACATAATATTTTGTGCGGAGCTTTTTACGATAAATTACAATGTACCACCTAAACCTTCAAGAGAAAAAAAATTAAATGAAAAATTTAAAACAAAACAACATCAAATTTCTCACCAAATTTCTTTTGCAACTTGATAGAAACTTGGTGCTTTTGTGCTTTTGCGGCTTCATAACCAACGCACCATTTATTTCTGCATGCATTCTTAATGCAAAAAATATTTATAAATAGGAAAGGAATTTTTATATAACGTAGTTTTCAATAAACATATAATATTTTGTTTAATGATGAAATAAAAGGATAAGGATAGGTCAAAAATTTATTTTTAAGGCTTTAACTATCTTTTTCTGGAGCACTCATCATTTTTGATTATTTTGGATTGACTCTTAGGGATGATACAATTACTATAAATGAGTCTATAGCAAAATATTCCCTCCAAAGGGCTATTTAGAACAGAAATACGGGTGAAGTACACCGCAGCACCACCCAACTATTATCTTAATCCTATCAGAAGCCAAACCATGATGCTTGAGATGATATACACAATCTGCTGTACTTTCTTCCTAAGAAAAAAAATTTTTGTGGCATCCTCAAACTTTTAATTTTTTTATTTTATTCATCATTATTTGTAAAAAAATAACATTTGTTTAATTTAAACTTAAAGTTGCAAACTTGAAGAAATAAGTAGAAATCATCCAGATCTCAATTTTTTCAACAATGTCGTCCCAAAAGCGTTGTGAATTATCGTTGTTCAATTGCTTTCAATAATCTCATTCAACATGACTATTTTATGAACGATAAACAGCTGTCAAAGGGGCATTTATTAAATATAAGTAGTACCTTGTTATTATGTTGATTAATTAAAGCAATAAAAAATTGTCATGAATTAATTTGATATATTTGTTAGATTAATTAGGGCCTCATGAAATCTTTTACATCAATAATTACTAAGGAAACCCTATAAAAAAAGACTATATTGCTTTTAATAGCTAGCTATTTAACTGTTTAAATCATCAAAGTAGATCGCTTTAAACACTATCACAAATTACAAATCCGGAATTCGCGAAACTTCATTTAGAACGAGTTATATCTCCAGAAAACATTAGATGTTAGATGTTTCAGCAGTAATTTCACAAGGGTCAATGATCTTTGTTAACGTTTTTGAAATCGGCTAATTCAATTGAGAGGTTGTCTTCCAAGTTAATTCCTTAATCCAAATGAGAATTATAAACCTCTTCGACACGAATTCCCTTTGAAAATGAAAATTTATAAGAAATTTTTTGAATATCGATTTAATTTAAATTTTTAAATTTCACTTTTCAAATCGCCTTTCAGAGATTTCGAATTCTTCCTTTGTAATTGAATTAAATAAAATTTCCATCCATAACTGGGAAGCCTAAAATTTTAAACTCTTGTTCTTATCTCTTCGTATCTGTTAAAACTTTGCTATAGACAAGCAATATAGGCAATGAGATAAGCACTACCGGAGCTTCTTTCTAACATGACTCCATTTAGTAAATTAATATTACGAATAATTAATTGTTGATGAAAGTAAATTGGCTAATCAGCCGAATTATTTCGAATTTAGCCAGGTAATAATAAATTTTATTGATGCATTTATCGACGGCATAACGATGTCATGTGTTTCGATTTTTGTTCCAAATTTATTCGTCAATTTATTCCGACACAAAAAAATAAATTTAAGAGGGAAATGTGAAAAAAATTCTGGATTTTTTATTGAGCATTAAAAATCACATGAAACTGGTTAAAGTGGATTAAAATATATTAACGAATAATTAAATTAACGAATAATAAAGATCTATTATTTATCTATAAGTTAATTTAAAAAACTCGACTTTCTTAGCTCGATTCCTGTAATACAAATCCTTTGAAGCATTAAAATCTTTCATCAAACAAGTGAGATAAATTATTCTGCATGCTCTGGCAAAAGACAAGCGATCATTGAAAATAAAACCCGTATATTACTAAAGATTCCTCTACTCCACAGAAATTCATTTCCGGAACAAAAAATGGATATAAATGAAAAAACTGACCTGACCAACTAAAGATTTTTTATATTGAAATCGGTCACTTATTATTAGACCAAATAAAATACAAATCAACACAATAACTTTCGATATATTGTTGAAAAATTTACAAATATATAAGTGCAAAACGAAAAATAATATGTTAAATTTTATGAAATTTAAATATGTAAAAAAATTTAAATATATGAAATTTGAAACGAATTTCAGCAAAACAATTTCAAAAGAAATTTAATCTTTGAAAATCTTTGAAAAAAAATGATCAAAAAAATTTTACCATTTATAACTATGAAATCTAATTTTAATTTTATCATAAAAATCAAGGAAGCTATCAGTTATCTAATAAAATTGGCTCCAAACAGAAATAATAATGTTTATCTGTTTTTCGTTTTTTCTTTTCTTATCGCTTTGCCCTTTCAATTTACTTTCTGCGATAGTTGAACAGTACATTCATTCACCAATAATTTATTCCGCCAGAGAATGGTCTGAATTTTCTCCTACTTAACTATTTCTATCTTTCGAAATTCCTATTGTCTATAAATTTTTTTCATCTTTATTTTCTCTCTTGTGGTAGTATTACTTATTATTACCAAAAAGCTGGATATCATTAAAAAAACTGCCATATCATTAAAAAACTAAACGAGAAACATTAAAACTTAACATTAAAACTTCAAGATTATTCTTCTGATGGTATGGCAGATTTCTCAAACGTAATAAATCTTAATAGTAAAAAGTAGTAAAAATCTTAATAGTCAGTGAGATCAAGGAGATATGCATAAATAAATAAATAATGCACAAAAATTCTTGTAAAGAAAGAAATTCGGAGAAATTAAAACTAACTGAAAAACTTAATGCCATAAGCTGGTGGTACTGTTTCATTATTCATTAATAATCTTACGAAGGCAAAGGAGTGATTCACAAAGGTCTCGTCCTATTTCCTTCAGTTCAGTGATTCCAATCTAAAAAAATTTTCGCTCACTGAGCACAATTTTCGCGAATGGAATAGAATTTTCACCACAAGAGAAATGGGATGCAAAAAAAATAACTCTGGTTTAGCCAATTCAGATAAATAAAAAAAATAAAATAACGTACCTGCAAGCCTGCATAACAACCTGATTCAAAGCCACAATAAGACGATTCCATAGTATAGGACCTAGTAACACCAAACTGACGCCAAACAGTAACACGAGCACTTGACTCTTTCGATTTCGTTATATTAAAGCGACAATTCGACAAGCAAAATCCTTTGGATGTCTAAGAAAACGGATGGTACAGTATTTTAAAGTAGAGAGAAAAAGATGATGAAAAAGATGAAAATGCTAACTTTATCAAGAATCTTTGGAAGAAAAATGAATTCTTGCTTGCCTTCGGTAGCACGATCACCAGAGTACCATGATTCTGCTGGATTATTACCATATAAAAATACACTTGATTGTCGCGAATGACCATGAAGATCAACAAAGATAAATGGTCGCTTATTTAGAATTTCAACCTGAAGAAAATTGCAAGACCTCAAATGACCATTGTACAATAAAAAGAAATTTTGGAAATGTTAAAATATTAAAATTAAAAAATAAACAAACAACAACATACAACAAAAATCTTTCATTTTTATCTTTGGCTTCACACTTATGTAGAGAATATCAAGAAATAAACTTCTAACCTCTTGACAAAAATTAAATCGTTCAGTTTAGAGGAAAATTTAGATATTGAGGACTCATCTATACTTTTATACATTTACACTTTTATCTATACTTTTCCAAGTGACTCTATGATGAAGGGATGAAGGGTTTTACATTAATAATCAGCGGAAACGGCTAACTAGAAATGGTTAGTGCGGTTACAGAAAAGAAATCTCACAAAATATTCACAAGTAAATATAGCTAAATTCAACAGTTCAAATTACGAATGCATTGCAAAAATGGCCAATAAGTCCTAATTTTTCCTAAAGAATAGATTTACCATAAACTGAATAATTCCTTTGGCGTGATATATTGTTGGATGAAGTTGTTTATTTGGATGATCCCATACACGATTCAAATCAACACCCGCAAGATTGCAGCGATGATTACCCTGGATAACGCCATCCGGATTAAGCATTGGAATCAATTTGAAAATAAAATTTTCTCGTAATTTAACCGCTTTTGGTTTTAAGCTTCGCAAATATTCGATAACACCTAAAATATCTACTAAAAATTGGTACTAAAACATCAATGATTTTTAACCTTGTAATAAATCAAAAAATTTCTTTCCGAAACAAATCAAAAATAAATCAAGGACTATCAATAATATTCAAAAACTATTCAAGAATATTATGCAGAATACCATGCATAATCCAACTGGAATTACATTCGCCTGGATGAACTCTCGCACAAAATACAACAAAGTCCCGCTTTTGTACCGGTATTTTTGATTTTTTAGCAGTGATTGTAATAATCGGAACAGAATTTAAGCCCAATGATTCACAGAATGTATCTGTGTGCATATATACCATATCAGACGTACATGCTGTCAAAAATGCAAGAGTTGCCTCAAATAGGAAAACATTAATACCTCATTATCTTTAAAAAATTAATGGGTTAATTTGAACTTGATATTTTCAATACATTTTTGATCCAAAGAATTTATAAATTAATGAAAAATTTAAACAAAATTTGTTTACTATATAAATTAAGAATAAATGAGAAATATAAACAAAAACCTTCAAGTGCGTGAAAGAATATGGGAAATGATATGCTATATAAGAAACGTCAGCTTGATGCCGAAAAATCAAATTGAAACGAACTGAATAAAATCGTCTGCAAAAAAATTTCTCGTATCTTCTCTAAATAAGCATATGACTCTTTACTTTCGAATTTATTTCGCTTTTCAATTACAATAATTATCATGAACCACTTCCAATTTTTCGTTTTCTAATAGTTATTAATTAAATTTAAACAATTACTTTCTCAGCTGAGAATTACACTTTAACTGTTTCTCCTTTTTCACGGGTGAAAGAGAATTATTGCAATATAAATTACGGTAATAACAAATGGATGTGCCTGCACGAACCCAACCTGTTCCATTCTCACAATTATCGGCGACAGAGAAAAGAACTGGTTGCATTCCTGTAATAATAAAATTTATAATTCAACCTCACTTTCGAAATTTTTAATTTTTAAATCGGAAGAAAACTAATGGTCCAAAGAAATATAAATATGAAATAAACTGATGTCGATGCGATATTTACATTAGAATAAAACCAAAAAAAAGCATACCAAGCGAAAACATAGATCCAGTTTTATGGCAATTGATTATTTCAAAAGTGTATGACAAATTAGCCTGATTATTTGAAACTTCAAAGTAAAACCACTGATAATGTGCAGTAGTCTGATTAATATCCGGTGAGAGGACAAGCTGGTAATAAAGAGGTGCAACCTAAAATGATAATGTACTTAAATATTTTTTAAAAAAAATTTGAATTGTGTATCAGTTAAATCTTCGATTGGATTTCGCAGAAAAATTTGCGGTAAAATATTTATGGCTATCAACAGTATTCTGAATATTAACTTCAAACTTACTTCCTACTGAACATTCTCTTTCTGTGAATTATTGCAATAATTTTCATGAACCACTTCCAACTTTTCGTTTTCTAATAGTTATTATTAAATTTAAACAATTATTTTCTCACCTGAGAATTACACTTTAAACTTAAAATTAAACTTCTTCCTTAATCAGTAGGTATTTTTATCAATTTTCTTTTTATTGCATTTTCAACCATAGGCGTAAAAAAGAATTTCTGAAAAATACCTGGATGGCTTTTCGTAGATTACCACATTCAAAACGGCTTTCAAATAATAAATGATCGTACTTCATGTTTAAATGACCAACCCTGGTAGATTTATATTGCAATAAAAATTTTATGGTCAACTCTAGTTATTGTTTAACTTTGAAAATATAAAAGTGATATATGTACCGAGTGAAAATTTCTTTTTTTGCTTACTGATCCAAGACATAAAACAATTTTACGAGCTAGCGGCGCCCAAGCTTATTTGTAAAAAATTAGGTAATAATGGCAATATTGAGGGAAATGCAGAAAATAAAATATTAGAACACCTTTCCTTATCATTATTAGTCAACGGACCATTAAGACTTTGCGACTTCTCGAAAAGAATTTCATCTAAATCAAACACGACTCGAGGTGCAAAAGTTCCATCGACATATGCCTTAGCCCTTCTCATTTCTTGCACCAATACTTCTCTGAACAATTTGAAAAGAAAAGATGAAAAATATATTAAGCAAATTATTAAAATTTTAGCGCTTTAGTGTAGAATTTTTGCTAATATTGGATTTTTCGCATTTAAAGAATTCAATGTATTACTGCAGTGTGATCAATGTTGCATCATTTCTGAACGATAAAATTGGAAAAGAGAAACAATCAAACCTCATTGCATTACAATTATTTTGCAACGGTTTCATTTCACTTTCGGTATTTGAATTCACAAGCTCAGGATATGCTATTTTTACAAATCCATTCAGTGATTTCGTTTGCTAAAACAAATATGAGGATTACCAGAGTGATGAACATTACATTTCTATTATTGAAATAATAAATGATGCTGGAATTTTCTATGACCGACCACGACCATAACAAACCATGCAAAGAATAAGCCATGCGTGACAAAAACTAATTAATCTAGTAAATAAACGAATTTAGCGTACAATTCGAGGAATAACCTCAGCTAGACAAAAGCGCCCTTTATACTCACATTGGATTTTCAACCGTTGAAAATAATATTTTACTATAAAACAGATATTTCCATTAAATAATAAATGAAAAACTTCATTAAGAAGAATAAAAAAAGCAATACATATTTTTTAATATTACTAAAAATAATATTACCTTAATTTTGTCTTTAATTACTGATTCGAATTTCGCTTGATCAAATTCGCTATCGGCTTTTAAGCTAAAGTTCTTATCATTAATGAAATCTCTTTCTTTGAAAATATGAGCATAATTAGCGATAAGTTCCGCACGATCTTGGTGTGAAAAATAAAATAATTTCTCTTCATTTAAATTGTCACCGTCTCGATTAGTAGGAAAAAAACGCCCGGATTGTATTCCGAAAATGCATTCATCGTCTTTAAATTTCGTTAAAATTGGTAATGTAACCACTCCTTGTATTTAAAAATATTTAAAAATAACAATAAAGTGAACAGTTAAAACAATTATAAATTAAATAATGAAATAATTAAATACCAGTAATTAATCAATATTAAATAATATATGAAAAAGAAGCACGATAGGTGGCTTCTAACAGTTTCGTCATTTCTGCTTGTTATTAAGATAGGAACCCTCCGCAAAAGAATCATCTGAATATGGAAAGGTCATATTCAAACACCAGCATCACGATGCTCAACTTCAATTGACACAAAATACCACTCAGCCAGATTACTTCTAGACATGACTCAAGAATCAAAAAAATTCAGCCTATGGATCGATAATATTGCATAGTATCATCCAATAAAAACGATTGATAAAAATTCATAAAATTTCGAAACCTCCGTATCCTACTTGATTAAACTTTAAAAATAAAGGCAAAAAGCAAGGCAAAAAATCGAATAAAAAATTACCACTGCTTGCGGTTCCTGATAAGTGCATAGATGGTGCTTGTGAAGCCATAGATCCAGATCTAAATAAAAAAATCAGAAAATGCATAAGATATGAAAATTCTTGTTGCAAAATTTAGATTGAAAAAATTTAATCCAAACGATTGCTGCAAAAAATAGATAGATGAAAATAGAAAGCATATTCGTGGTTAATAAGATTCTTCTCTGGAGTGAATTTTATAATAACAGAATAGGTGGACAAAGCAAATCCCCTAAATCCATACCACAATACAGCCATATAAGTCAGTTCAAAACAATCAAAATCAATCAGAAATTTCAAACATAGGAACCATTCTAGGTCAGCAAAAAAGGTTTCACCATTCTGCAAAACCATGTCAGATCATAAGAATGGCTACAAAAATTTTCCAACTGGTTATCAAAATTGGTTAACTGGTTATCGACTGGTTATCAACTGGTTATCATCATATTCATCATATCATATTCGCCAAATCTCTCACTAATAGAATAGCACTTTTTTTGGTTCTTCCTCAAATGGCTCGAAAGAGGAAAACATCTCTTAACAATTCGGTGATTCCAGAGGAAATCGTATCAATGACAAAAAGATATTCATTATAACGATGCTCTTTTGAATTGAAGTTTCAAAGCAAGTCATGCAAAATTACAATAGCTTTCAGATGACCTAGTAAAAGTCAAATTTGTATCTGACGTAGTAAAAGTCAAATTTGTATCTGGAAATTTCTAAATTTCTCGAATACACTACAAAAAAGGACAAAAATTTTATAAGCATAAGCTTAAATCAAATTAAAAATCTAAATTAAAAAGAACCAATGAGTTATTATCACTTTTGCCAATTGCTCTTCATCATTAAAACAATCGTTTAGCTTTCAAATGATTGATCATTAGAAAGAAGAGAAATAAAGATTTTCCAAATTATTTATTTATGATTAGAAACGTTAAATTTCTCATAAATATTATTTTATTTGTCTATTGTCTGGTAAATTTTATATCTTTAAGTAGTTAGCATGGTAATTAATAATCATAAATAGCTAGCATATACCATTGTTGCTCTATTATTCCCTACTATAGAATGAAGCCGCCGAGCCGTCTGGAGAAGTGCAGGTAGATTTGTAGCACAATTTCGGTTTTTATAATAGCGGACTAACTCCAGCCAGGAACCAACCAAAAGCCGAAATTTTATGATGTTTATTACGAATTAACAAAGCCTTCTTCGTCTCCTAATAGCTTTCACCAGTACTGCTCAGGCTGGATCCACTGACTACAGAAATTTCCAATCTGATATCATCGTCAACAGTAGGTTTTCACAGGTCTTTGATTGGCTTTTAATGCCATCCATCACAGGATTTAGCAAGTAACGAAATATGAATTAACAAAGTGGAATCATTTGTTTATTTTCGTTTTACAAGCTTGACTCATAGAACCAAAATTTATGGAAAAATGATCCACAGGATTAAATGATCAACAATACAAAGTAAAATCGCAGATGAACCAAACCGTTAAAGGATCTATTGAGAAATACGACTATTTTCCATTATTTTAACGATAGAAAGCATAGAAGAGAAAAATAAACCTGATGATGCTCGAATTTTCGACTGAATTTAACGAAAATTTAATAGGAAACGATTTCGATAGAAAAGGAAAAGGTTGAGTCGGAAGAAAATTTAAACAAAACGCACACAATGAATCCTGAAAAACAAAAAAAAAATATAAAAAAACTAAAAGAAATAACTCGAACCTCATTTATCTCATTTATGAAATATTGAAATATTCATAAAGAAAATATCCTAAAAATATAAATAATATATATAAATATACATTGATATATTATATATACGTTATATTATATACATCATACATATACATTATACATATATATATTATATTTATATATATTATTTATATTTTTGGGATATTTTCTATATATATATATAAAGGCAAAACGATATATATATATATAACCTATAAATTCTGAATTATTCTGAAGAAATTCTGCGAAAATATAATAAATATTACAAGAATCTTGGAAGGAATGGTAAAAAATTAATTTAATTTTAAATATTAAATTCAAAAATAAGATTGAAATAAGAAACTAAGGATAAATCAGTGGCTTAGTCGCAAAAGACTGCCATAAAAATCGAAAATTGGTCGGGATCCAGCTGGTGCACAGGGCAGCCGAAAGCAAAGGTGATTAGAAGCTCGGTGGGCTATTGCTCAGTTCAATGAGGAAGTCTAGAACTTCAGAAAAAAAGAAATTCAAAATTTTTCAAATGATTGAGCAAGTGACCAAACTATTTTATGAAAGCTACCGAAAATAATTTGAAAGAATCCTTGATTTTCAAACAGTATTTATAATACTCCATACAGTATTGCAGGAATAATGGCTTTTTTTGAATATTTCAAAGATAAATAAATATAAGATATAAAAATAGATAAATACTGATGCTGATAAATATAAATACTGATAAATATTTATTCCATATGGTGTCGAAAGATTCCGATCCCTTAATATATTATCTCTTCCCTTAATATATTAAGAAAAAGAAAAAAGACTGATCACCCAATGAGAAATTCCAATAATCTCAGATTTAATCAGAAAATCAGATTTTCATCCGAATCTTGAATTTTTTTATTTATTAATAAAAAAAGTATTATTAAATTAATGAAATCTATTTAAAACAGTGTAGTAACATTAAATATTAAATACAGATTTATGTTAAATAAAGATTATGGTTGTAAGACTATGGGAAAGCAAAATTAAAAAATTTTTTGAGAAAATGTTACCTGTAATCGAGAGGTGTAAGTGATTAATGAAGTTGAGATATCTTTGAGATACATATCACCACTTAAGTTATGGGAAGCCTTTTCACAAACCACTAGAAGCTGCTGCGACAATATTTCATCACGACCCTTTTCTGGAAAAAAAGTAATGAGAAAAAATATCCACTAGAAAATTAAGCATAAATGCCAAATAACTCAACATTTTACAAAAACCTGGCTTTAAATGTTTAGAGCGATATTTAACAATATCATTAAACACCATCTATACATTGGTTAGATTTATATTCTTTTTTTCTATAATTATACTAAATGACTTTCTTTAGCAAGCAAAAAAATAATATCAGATTAAATTGTCTCACTAATTCTCGAGTAAAGTTTTAAACAAGCCAATGCCAATAAACATAATTCGACATTTTCCTTTTTTAAGAGTTCTTTTTCAAAATGCACTTCCAAGAACGATTTTATAACATAAATAACATTATGTTCAATTA